CATCTCGTGATGGCGGTGTTGCTCTCTACTATCGAGATTATTTGAAATGTGAGGCCCTTACCCAAAGTTCCCTTGTTATTCCCGATGCACTATTTTGCCGACTGCACCTAGCAGGTCGAGATGCTGATTCACAGGAGACGAGTGATGCTTGCCCCTTAGCAGTTACCTATAGGCCTCCGAACTCATCAGCAGACCGCGATAACATTCTGTTAAACGCTCTCCGCTATGCTGTTTCACAAAAGTACTCTCACCATCTTATAAGGAGTGACATTAATGTTCTTTCAATAGCATCAATGTCCCCTAATGGGCCATCATTTAAATCGAAACCCCTCGAATTAATTGATAAGGCAGTTTTGTATAACCATGTGCATCGACCAACCAGACATCGCGGTTCAAACAAGCCATTACTGCTGGACTTAATCCTGACTAATGAAGTGTTGGTGGTTGAGTCAGTAGCATACGATCTTCTACTGGGCCGTAGCTACCATTCAGTCCTAACATTTGGTTATGTGTGTTATGCCAGTGTTGTTGACAAAGAAAGAGGGATTCAACGAACTATTACGGACTATTATAAGCTGCGCAGCTTAGCAGCAACCGTTGACTGGGACCTACAGACGCACAGCTCAGCGAATGACGCGTGGAATGAACTGAAAGACAAAATTATCTGGGTCATACAATCAGCGTCGAAGGTTGTACCATTAGTGGCATCTCGCCGGACTAATACGTGGATCCGAAGCAGAACACGTAAATGGATTAACAGAAGAGATGAAATCTGGAGGCAACATTCACTAAGCCCATGTGATATCACGTGGCCGAATTATAAAGGCATTAGAAACTACTGCACGTCGCTCATTAGGGTCGATAAGTACGAATGACAGGAGGTCAGGTTGCTGAAATTTACGAGTAACACCAAAATACCATACAGATTTGTGAATGGCAAAAGAAAGGTTAAGCCCGGACTACCACCAATCAAGACGGCCAGTGGCCTAACAACTACTGCTGTGAATGCCGAGCACACTCTACTCCTGCAGTTTGGCTCTGTAGCTACAAATACCATGGAACCTTCGCCCAATCAACTCCCAATAAATTTCGTTGGCTTATTCAGCGTCACCTTTACTCCGGCAGCTGTTGCAAGAAAATTACAGTCCTTCCGGGAGTGCGGTGCCCTTAGAATCGACGTCATTTGCACAAAAGTACTGAAAACCCTTTCCGGCACCATAGGAGCACTGCTTGCAGCCATTTTCCAGGGTCCGCTTAACTCCCTTACACCCCCCGCTGAGTGGGAAAATGTAATTATCACTTCAATATACGAAGGAGGAACGCGATTCGATTCTGCCAACTACCGACTTATTACTCTCCTTCCTGTTTTATCAAAAGTGATGGAATCAGTAATCGCAGATGAACTGACGCGATACTTTGAAAGTCAACAAATAATTTCTAATGCCCAACATGGTTTCAGACGCAGACGATCTTGTTCCACCAATTTGCTGATTACTCGAGACACATGGACCAGGGCGGCTGATGAAGGAGTCCCCATAGATGTGATTTATTTGGAGTTTTCTAAAGCATTCGACTGGATCAGTCACTTCTTTCTCCCCCAAAGGCTTGCTGCCTACGGTATCAACGGTTCCATGATCACTTGGTTAGAGGACTACTTACACGACAGAACAATCAAGGTGAAAGTAGCCGCCACTCAATCGGAAAGCCTATGAGTCTCCAGTGGTTTACCGTAAGGATCCGTCCTCGGCCCGCTACTGTTTTTAGTCTACATTAATGAGCTTCCAGCAGACATTCTATCCCTGATGGAAATATTTGCAGACGACGATTAAATATGGAGAGCGAATCGCTCAGCATCCGACCGTGTCTATCTTCAGAATGAAGTGGCTCGGATTAGCGAATGGGCAGAAGTGAACCTGCTCCCACTGAACCCTTCAATGTGCCACCTGCTGACGGTGTGCAGCAGCTTCGTCAACACATACCTTTTGAGGCAGCACGTCCTGCAACAAGTGACTAGTGAACGAGTCTTGTCAATTCGCTCCGATGTTCTAAAGCAGCAAGTTTGGCGAACTTGAACTTGAGACTTTTGAGGCGACCTCTCAGCATCTTTGACCGACGGCTAGTACCATTGCTGATTAACTCCTATATTCGCCCTCACGTTGAATATGCAATTCATGCCTGGTGTCCATGGTTAAAACGAGATATTCGTCTATTGGAACAACCCCAAAGAAAAGCCACAAAGGCAAAGCGTGGACTGTTCGGGCTAAGTTACGAACGACATCTTCGAGTACTCGGGGTTCTCCACAGAATACCGACGGCTTCGCGGAGATCCCGCTCCCACATACCGGATACTAACTGAAACCAAACATCCATGCACATCACTGTTAACCCTAGCCCCTTACAAACAGAGCCGAAGCGACCACCTAAGACTAAGGACGCGACACTCCCGTTTGAAGTGTAGAAAGCATTTTTACTCACTTAGACTCTGTTCTCAATGGAATGCATTACCAAGATGTGTGATGAACGAACCAGACATGACGACATTCGTTAGACTCTTTGTAACAAACTCTTAGTAATAAACGCTACACCACCGTTTGATAAAGTACAATGGTTTAACCACTGATACATAACGTTCCACGATGGAACGTTTTGCCTCTAATTTTCATTTGTGATGGATCGTAAACTAGAACGAAGCATCCGAAACTTATGGAATACACTACCAGAGGGATTAATAGTGGCCGATTCTGTGCAATGTTTTATAACAGATATTTACGATTATTTTGGAAAGCCGTGCTTTTGTAAAACGGTGCATATATCATGCCAGAAGAAAACCTCGTTTACCTGGAAATATTGACACCAATACGAATTGCTAACGGAATAAGGATAAAAAATTAACTGACAAAACACTACCGCTGACGATTAGCAAATAAATTTTTTTGATTTTTCATAATTCATTAGAGCTGTACAGAAGCCTCTTAAATACAGTATCAATACCAATATCATCCTGTGCTTCTTGTAAAGTTATACTTTTTATCCCATCAAGCCTCATGGAACACTATTTAACTATAAACTGCCTCTGTGATTTTTCGAACTGCGTTTACTGCTGCTGCAGTAGTGCCTGTAATTGTTCAACGTTGACCGCCATTTCTGGATCCGATTGAAACTGCTGTCGCCATTGTTGTAACCAACAGGCATCACTGGTTGGATCAATGTGATGGCTTTCGCCAGGCAAGCCGCCACGAACGCTTGGAATTCCGTCGTACCAAAAGATTATGCTTGAATTCAAACCACCATCATCACGGCTGTTGTCCCCGCAGAAACTGTGGGTTAAATTGATGCAGACGCCTGCATCAACCGCTGCCTCACTTTGCAGAGAGAGTCAGAAGCATCAAGAAATCGGACACTGATAGTGGTAATTTTGCCGTGCGCTATTTAGAAACATCGCCTGTGTCCTTAGGTGTACTACCTATATGTCTCTGGTCCTATTGACATCGTTCAAGCACTAGTATTGATAGATAGTGGATCAGACATATCAATAGTCAATTCAGCTTTGCCACATGAAATCGGCTTGAAGGGCACTATGGAAACGTAAAACATTCCTACGGCCCATGATCCAGATAGACGCGACATGGAATAGACTGGGTGGCTTGACTGCCCATAACGTATGCATAACATACAGCCCTAACATTTGTTAAACAGGTGATGTCCGACGCTATTAGCCACGTCTTCTCATAGGCAGACAGGCATGGAAGTGCAGGTGAAACCTTTTGAGAGAATACCCTGCACGAAGGGAAATCTCCTGGAGATGGTTCCATGTTTGGTCATATTGCCTTACTTGAATATTTGGCTAAATCTCCATTTGTTATTGTTCCCAGTCTCTCAACTGCTCTAATACCTTCAACCGGCCGATTGCCATAAAAATCCGTTTGGAATCCACTGTATAAACTGTGAACAATTACCTGTTTTACGCGATCTTGTGGTACATATTGATCAGACCATTCAGCTGGACTGTGCCAAGCACCGTTGAAGAATATACCGTTTGTTTATTTATGTACTATAACCACTGATATGAACGACTTGTCGTGGGGTGAATGGAATGTTTTATTTGACTCAGTAGAAGTTACTGTTTTATTAAGTGAACACAGAAATGCACTGGTGACTGGCACTAATGCAACAATGTTTCAGCCACAAACTATGTTCAAAAAAGTTGCATGAGTCTTCGAAAATTTGCAAGGCGACTCAGAGCTATTACACTTGGCTACATAGTCACTGTCCATCCAGGGAAGTGCCCAAGAGTAGGTCCGTCTTCTCGAAGCTAACAAAAGATAGATATTTTCTTCTCAGTTCCCGTGAGCTTCGAACAAACGAAACTTAATTAGGTAAAGCACCACGGTGCTTGTGATGATAGTATTCTAACCGGTTCGTAGTACCATGTGGTTTCCGACGAACTTGCGAAGGAAGTCCATTCTCTGAGGTCCAGCATCATTCACTGTGTATCAGTAACGCGTAGAGCGGCAGGGAAGAAGCCGCACTAGATAGCTCTTAACACACCGACCTGAGTCACAGCGCACTAAAGAGGTATCGCTTAAAGGAGCTTGATCGGGTCCCAAGGAACGAGGAGTGCCTTTAACAGTCATCGTTTCAAAAGATTTGGCAAACGACCGGTTGGTGTACTTTTTAAGTCGTACAACGTTTCGACACGAGGGCTTTTACCATTTTTCCGAATGTACGGTGGTTGTCCAACTGGATCAAATTGGGAATAATTTCCTTGAAAATTTTGTAATCCTGAAGTTGCGTTAACATGGGCACTTGTTCCAGAGCCATTGCCAATGTACGAATATCAGGGGGATTGTAGATCTTCGTCGGGCTCTGAAACTATATGCAGATTTGTAGCTGAATTCATTTTTCCGGCTGTTTCGCTACACCACGGTGTACGCTGCATGTCACACCTTGCGCTGCTAATCGATGATACATACTCCATGTTCCATGTACACACTTTACAGGAAGGTATTTCTGCAACATCCATGAACAACAGTTTGCACACAACGGGGAACCTGGTAGCTTTGTTGGATGAACTGGTGAGTGAACTTTTCGATATACTATCTGAATACAAGCTTGTTTATCCTCGGCTCCACAAAGTATTTGTAGTAGTACACAAGGTTTATTAAAGGGACATAAGGTTACGTGCGGCAGTTCGTTACCAGCGCACAAACTTGACCATCGTCGTTAGCTGATGTCGTGGCGTCTCGGGCGATACAAGGTCACACTTAAGTCTAAGGCTGAATAGACTAGTTGACTTGCGGGCGCACCAGCGCTTGGGGAATCAAGGAAAAGTGGATAAATCCAAATTCTAGTGCTATCTGTTACGTACTGATCGCGTTTTCCTGTACGAACGCGTAGGCCGTTTATAGGTAAAACACAGACACCGGCTGGCACATGTAAAATCTTTTTTCTAGCATTTACATCGAAGCAAGTGAGAACAATTGGAATCAAACATACCGACCAGAAACAGGGGCCGGAGACTCGCTATCGATCGGTGCAGTCAGGGGTTCGATACAGACGCGTGAGTGGGCGTGTTAGTTGCTGTGCTCTCGCATGGCTCATAGACAGTGTATGTGTCCATAACACTCCGTTAGTGATCAGCCCATTAGTCGCCTCTGTTCGAACCGGACTCAGAGTGTCTGGAACGACCCCGGTCCCCCTATAAGATTACATGGTGGTCGCGTTCCTGAGAGATGAGCTAGCGGTTGTGCACTCCAAGTCTGTCAATGTAGACACGTTAGTTATGTGTGAAAAGGCCGCCAGTAGTCCACACTCAATGACGGCGCGTTCATCCCGACTAATTTGAGACCTCAGCATGGTCGCGCTGAAAGACTTCGTTGGCGTACAACCCTTTGCTTGTCCGCCAAATCTTAACATCTACGATGAGTAAAAGCTTAGAGCTTATACCCCATGTTAGCTCGTTAATGCGGCTTGCGAACAGACGGAGACCAAGGATTGAACTGTACGACACGCCGCACTAGAGACTCGCATTGAGTCAGACGAAGATATTCGGACGGCAACTTCTAGGTGCCGTTCGTAGAGAAATACATTAGTCCATCATACTGCTGGATTTTCCATGTCATATTCTGAAGCTTTTAAGGCAAGATAAGTTGATCAGGGCGATCGAACTCGTTTGAAATGTACAATTAGATGTCATCGGTTCCTTTCCCCTCGTCAACTGCTTTAGTACAATTGCCGGGTGCAAGTAACTGGCTAGTGACACATAATCGGTGTTAATGAAAACAGTGCTGCTCCAATGCAATTATATCCTAACCCACCAGGTGACCCGTTAATGCTTTTATGATCACTGTCTCCATGATATTGGCGAGCACAGCAAGCAGTGTAACCCCAGGACGGTAACTGATAGGCTCAAAGTGAGTTCCTCCGTTACGATTAGGTGTGATAATGCCTCGTTTCCACTTTGACGGATCTATGTTCCAGTGTGCACAGTGTTGAACGAATCCAGCAAGCGGTTCGGCTTGGCCCAGTGAGTTCGGATGTATCATCTGCCACAGTAGAGCTATGTTTACACAAACATAGTGGCTGTTTTAACTACTTTTCTGTAGTGCAAGCTAAGCTAATGAAACATAATTATTGAGCAATAGCTTATCCCATCAACCTTGTCCAGTGGTGTGATTCCGTAAGGGTGATTTCATCAAGTTGACAAAAACAGCATATCCACCGGATTTCTTGATAAACCGAGCCGACTGTAATACGTATAGTTTTTGAAAGCATTTTAGTGCTTCCACAGTAAGAGTTGCACAAAGGGGGCGCCTATTATTTGTAAGATTGTGATCACAGAAGGGTTATACACGCCAAACAGCAAGTAGATGCAGGTAAGGTAGTGGCTCGATAACAGTGTCGATGAGATACTGCATCGCATTGTGGTAGGCTATACGAGTCTTGCAAACGATCGATTTTACCTCTCCCAAGCAATGGCTATCATTTTTATCGACTATTAGGTACGTTGACTAACACAGGCTAGGCAAACTGAATCATCGCCCTCATGACTGGGTTCGGGGCTTGTAATTGTTCCTCGAGAATTCCTGGTAAGTGTGAGTCAAGCTTACGCTTCTTATGTCCCTGCTCTTTGTACAAACCACCCGTCGCTACTACCGATTGACCCGTTTAGCAAGGGCCGGTAATTGGTGTCATTGTAGTTGTTTCAGTGACTTAACCGGTGCTGAGGAAATGACCAAAATGAATCCTTGAGTAAATCGTAACAAAATTTCCGTAAGAAACCTGTGGGAAGATGATTACAGCTTTAACAAAGCCAACTGATCAGCTAGTGGCTGACATTAGTATAATTACAAGCTGTCATGCTCCTCATCTTTTGGCTATGCCTTGGAATCGTCAGGTTGCACCGTGGTCTATACGGAGTCACGTTTGTTAGCATATTTTCTTCGTTTGAAGCCAAGAATTCAACTTGAAGGACAAAGCCTTAGTTTTAGTTACTTCGTCTGCGTCCATTCGCTTTCCATTATATGCGCTATTTTCTTTTAGTCTCCATCAAAATGCACACTTGATCCGGGAATATTTTGGCACATTGAAGCTGCCTGCCTAACTGGAGACCTCGGTGTTGTGAAGCAGAAATTAGAAGAAGCGTACCAGCTCAATCGAATAAAACACCGAGGTATTTGTCTAGCTGCAAACTTAGCGTTCGAATTCATATATGTTGGCCCATAAAGTCTCTATACCATGTTCTGTTCAGCCTGAGTTTCAGTACATTGGGGTTGCTCCAGTTCTAGCTTTCAGAAAGGTTTGAAGACGATCGGCCTGTTTGCACTAACTCCAGTTTCGACGCTAGCGTTCTAAAAGACCAAGCGAATCCATAATCTCTTTCATCAGTTTTAATGCAGTTCAAGTCGAAAAGATGACATTGTTCATCTCGAAATCGTCTCATTACATCAACGGTACCTCACTGGGATTTTTATAGAAGGTATGAGTAAGCAAGCAATCACCAGTCATGGTGTCGTGAGTAAAGCCCATCCACTGAAGCATCGAGCGCTAGTAAACTGAGGACTTCTGTACGTTTATCTGGCTCAGAAATAGGCTGGAACATTTCATCTGCTCAGCTCACTGATTTACCCCTTTGCGCTGTGGATTATTGTCAACACACTAGGAATAAAAGTGGCTAATAACCTCTCAGTGTCAATTGAATGGAAGCAAGAAATGTTCAACAATAATTGACGCTTCTTAGCTTCATTTTGACGACCGCATACAAAACGTTTCCGTTTTGCGTGTAACACAGGTAATTTTATTTTAGATTTGCGTACAATACGAAGATTCCGACGTACTGGTACGTTTGTTCTAAACCACAGTCTGTCCTCGTTCCCCGTCGAATACAGTCTGGATGTCCGTTGGCTCGTTCATTGTCGCATGAACACAGCTACTGCTGGTGTCAACGTGCTGCTACACCGATCCAGCGTGTGAGTTTGGTACTCGCCTGTTACTAACAAAATGCGCCGATTCGACTAAGCGTCTTTCTGAAGTCACTTTTGCTCTCCTAAAATCTCTAAGGGATTCTTGCTAGAGTTCGTTACTTGTTTCATGATTGGCTCGTGAACGCGTTGATTAGGATATCGCAGTGTTGTAGGTTAATAGGATAAGTGTTGACTTTTATGCTGGCGAGAAACGCTAGACTGGAGACGATTAAGTAGGACTTGGCCTTGTCCTAGGACGAAAGCAATGAAGGTAAGTATACTTCAGATAAGGCTGAGGCAACTTCCCGTGGTGAGCGGCGCGGAGCGATAATCAGTATGTACAATGAGTGTTCCGCCCAACCCTCTGCAACCTGCTCCAACAAAGACAGGATATCCAGCAAAGAGCAAACTTCAGGTTGCAGCCAGTTCACACAGAACATTCGCATGAGTTGCTGATATCCTTATCAGCAGCGGTGACATCCTGCGTAAATTATGATCAGTCAGTTCACTAAAAATACCGTATAATTCTCACGCTAGAGTATCATTAATTATAGAACCGAACCCCACGACATACTTTCTACATTACATTGTATGTTGTCGTCAGAACAGTCGCACTGCAAGTTAAGTTATAAACCTAAATAAACTCTATGTACAATCCACAGGCTTGTGAACTAAAAATCCTTAACCGGGACCACAAAGCACTTTCTTTCTATCATTCACTGATGTCAACCAAACCTACAACACATACTTATCTTGGACGTTTGTGAGTACGGTAAAGTTTGTAGAAAGTAGAGCAGCGGACCGGAAATTCGTGGACCGGGGTTCGACTCCCCGTCTAGGCATATTATTGCGCGTGAATTTTAATCGTGACTTCTACTTTCTACAAACACACTTATCTACTGAGCTATTTCACATTTGCAACTTTGTTCTCTGTTACCTTAGGCCGTCGATCAAGCACTTGCTGTTCCAAGCGACACATGGACGCGACTTTTTGCAGGAAGTCGTACCCAAGTGGTTGAGTGGTACGAGCCATTTGAGGCTGGTCAAACAACAGATGGTTAGTAGCTGTGACCGTTCTCTGAACTCACCCCTTTATTTAACACTGTTCATTGGAACTGAAGTCTGTTCCAACAGTCAAGTTCAGGAAGTCAGGCGTTCCATCGAACTAAGTAATCTGTTTGTACAGTAAACGTCCAGTGAAGTGTGAGAATGATGTGCTAATTGAACTATAGTTTTGCAAAGGTAATTTGAAGTGAATAAATGCAGGGGGATAACAGATATATGAATGTTGTCGCAGGACCAGGTGACACCAAACGCAGGTTCAGTGCAGGCCGTATAGCAATAATGAACCTTGAAGAATGTTGCATAATGAAAAAGCGTGCTTAACGGTACTGAAATCACATCGAGACTAACTTAGTGCATACGTATGGTAACAAACAAATAAATAAACCGACGGATTTTTGAGTCCGTTACCAAAGTGGATTAAACGATCTGTGCATAAGCGGAATAAGGGTGGTACGTGCTGTGCCGCTTGCGGCTTCGTAGGTTCTGAATGCACAGACCACTTGAACAGAACTCGGATCGATTACTGCTTCACGAATCCTAATCACTGGATTGGCGCGGAAGAAGACCACCGAGCACCAGCGTAGCCCCACATGTCAGACGAAAAGCGGTCGTGTGACCGCATCACGAACCCGAAAGAGGTAAGACTGATTTTCAGCAGCGGCTCTTTTACCGGCTCCGCCGAAATTTGACATAGGCCTCATACAACACAGTCTACTCGGTAACTTGAGACATCTGCGTCAGAACAAAAGCGTGGTTTCGGTGTATTTACCGCGATATCACTGTTGATTTAGCGACTCTCCGCGGTCGAATATGAAGGTGACTTGCGGCATAGTACCTACACACAGTGTTACTTCTGAGTAGGAGGATGTTAGTTGCAAGTTTTAATCTGTTCTTCTCAGCAGCTCAAAAAGTACACAGCACAACAAGAATCCGGGAAAGCACCAGACGCGTTTCGCCTTCTCCGGGCTCGTCAGTGGTGCGCTATCCTTCGGTCCCTTACTGAGGATCGAACCCATGGCAGCTAGAGGCTGACTCCAAGTAGCCAGCAACTTAAGCCACTGAGCCATGGAAAACGCTGGTCGGGCTAGATAATTTGTAAGCTAACTGGGATATAACATGGCTTATCTTCCACTGCCATGCAGCTTACTACCTTTGCAGATGACAGTGGCTAACCTCCGAGGTCATAACATATCTCACTGGACGCTACGTCCATTTGTAACTTGGAGAGGCTACGTTTTATATGACTTATGAGTAGGAAGATTTTAGTTGTAAATTAGTTGCAAATTATGTAGCCCAGCCACCGTCCCCTGGCTCAGTGGCTTAAGCGGCTGGTTAGTTGGTGTCAGCCTCTAGCGGTCATGGGTTCGATCTCCCGCAGGGGACCGAAGGATTGCACACCACTGACGAGCTCCGATAGGGCGAAACGCGTCTGATGCTTTCCCGTAGTGTAGTTGTGCTATGTAGCTTGTCAGCTGCTGGGATGAATATGTTAAAATTATACACAATGTGTTGGGGTATCGGTCGAAGGGGTTTGCCTGAACCTGAGTCCCCAAACCAGAAAGATGGAACACGAAATTCCTGATTAGAGGAACTACTTACAAGTTAGCAGTAAGATCATGCGTGAGTTTGACCTTCACAGAACCCAATGACATAATGGAAACCACGTGTTGACTGGTGCGGTCCACTAGCTGTGCTGCACATTGTTCAGCAATTTAGGCTTCAACGAGAAATTGGCTATCTGGGATGAGCTTCATGGAAGAGTAAGTGCTGCCGTCCTCTCGGCAATGGACAACGTGGCCACCTAATACCACTGCGGATTACAGGACCGTGGTCCAGATTGTAGTGTCGGCCAACCTCTCCCAGCTACAGTTCACTCAGCCTCAGAAAAGCTAGTGGCTACCGGTCTCATTTCGTCATTTCAATCGACCAATGGTCAAATGCACCACCATAGTCGGTGCACAGTATTGCTGTTTCCTTACTACAAGGGACTAGCAGAGGGAGTTGGATAAGTCGAATTTCAACACATCTAATCTACTACTGGCCTGTAATCAGTACGCAGACCAACGTGCCTAAAATGTCACTCTGATTGGCGGCTCTGTGAGGCAGCTACTTGGTCGTCTGCGCGACAGCAACTTGCAAATGAGCGATGATATATATATATATATATATATATATATATATATATATATATATATATATATATATATATATATATGTGATTAGCTGCAGCTGGTTTCGGATTTGCCTGTCATTGCGGCCTCTGCGGGGACAATCACAGGACGCCTGCGCCTATAGAGGAACCAAAGGTGGCTTTCGGTGCGTCATCCACAGTTCCACCCACACATCCCACATCCGGTGTAAACCCGAAGGAGCGATGCTATAACAGCCACGTTGATCAAATGATCGTTGCCGCTTAAGGGTCGTATACCGGTTGTCAGTAACTATACGAATTTAGTTAATTACTGTTCCTTGTAGCTCAACTGTTTCAACCACAGACAGGTAACAATTTAATCGCGGGTTCTAGCTCCACAGCAGTCAGGTGGAATGCACACTGTTAACGACTTCCGAAAGGATGAAGCGGCCGTAGAGTGCTATTCCAGACGTGTGTTGGCTGTCGGCATGCTTATATGTCAGTTAGGATACTTTATGCGGTAAAATGTGCCTGGGACATTGAGGTTTTACAAAGGCACCTTGCAAAGAACTGCTAAGAAAGTCAACGCTCCACTTCGAGCACGCTCAGTGCCACCGAGAAGGGAAGTTACGGTCAGTACTTCCTCACGTACAACCTATGCCTCCAGGGTACCACCGCGTCCTGAGTCCACTTTTGGCCTGCAGCGTACGTGCTGGCAACACCAAATAAATTAGACCTAGTCATATTTCAGACTTTCGTAGGCATCGAACATTTTCTGTGCAACTGTGTTTCCAATCGTTTTGAACATTGCCCGGGCTGGTGCTTAACACTGTATACATGCCCCTACAGCTTCCAATAACCTTTCATTTTTCCCGTGTGAACAACTTGCTTGTTTAAATTTCTCAATGCGAAACGCGAAACTTTGACAGGACCAATGCTTGGCTTCTACCAGATCCAACGAGGATAAGTGGGTAGCGTTAAACCTTTCGGAACGTACTTCAGTAAGCCAGCTGAATACTAGCAAGTATGGCTTCACTTTCGTGCATTCTATCAGTTACTCTAATGAACCCATTGCATAAGACCTACAATAGTATAAAACTTCAAACTTCCATTCAGATAATGATGTTTGACAATTAATCAATCTTTCCTGAAGACCTGCATCTGGTTCATCTGTGTAAGTCACCTGTCTGATTCAACACACACGTAAAAACATGAGATGTTAGCATCCGCAAGTGAACAGCGCACTCCTCATCGGATTTAGTGAAGCTCTTCATAAGCAGTAATGTGAGCGCCAATCTTGTAGTACGGGCGCTTGAGCCGACAAAGTAATGCTGTGTCTTTCACCCTCAGTCGATCGTAAAACTTGGCGGATCGTTTGGCGGTTGCTGTCTCGGAGCGATATGTCGTATCCAGCTCCATTGACTTGAATATTGGCCAAACGTCCAACCTCGAATACTGGTTCCAACAGATCTCCACTCATTGCAGTGCACGGTGCGATTCAACCTTCGTGACTGCGCCATGTCCACAGTGGTTGCGTCATGAAACGAGTGACCATGTATAACCACCTTGCGTCTGTCTGATTATTAAGTTTCCCACAATTTGCACATTCTGAAGCACGCAACAATTGAACAGAACTATCGCAAAAGGACACAGCAAGCACGATCGTCTAAGCACCATCTTCAGACATAGCGTGACAGTGCTCCCTTGCAACGATGGTCAAGAAGCAGAAACTCACTATTTAAGATAGTGACGGTTCATTCATGCAACTATTCCCTTGGACAAGGTTGTGACGCCATCACCAAAAAGTTATCTCTCTCTTTTCAAGTTATAGAGGATGCGGGCAAGAATGCCAAGACTTGTGGTTCACTCAGCAAAAACAGAAATGGATGTTTTAGATCGTTGGCTAAAAAATTAGAGAGGCCTTGTATCTGAACTTCGCTTAAGGGCGGCAGAGCGTTTGTAAAGACCAGATATGAAATCATCTGAAAAAGTGAATCTATCGGCAATGACACATGAGCTTCACATGACCGCACATTCTCTCGATTCTTATGTAGGTCTAGAAGAGGAATGAGACGTAACTCGGTCAAATCCAGTTGCAGACAAGGTGTCAAGATCCCATCAAAAGCAAATAACGGCCAACCTCACCTTTGTCGGCATTCTCCCACACGACTCCTTTAAACCCATGTGGACTCCTAGAAACGGAGAAAGTAACCTGCTCGTATACCAATGTTCAAGATCTTTTCAATAAGTTGGCCAAATTGGAAAATCGGCAAGTTTCCAAGTCATGCGACATCATTGTTATCACGGATACCTGGTTACAGGCTGGAATGACACATGTTGAAGTTTCGCTACTGGGTATATCGCTCATCCGGAACGACCGACTAACAAAAGCAGGAGAGGTAATTCTGTATTACCTACGTGAATGGCAGTGCGAGGCCATGACGAATTCTGGCCCGCAGTTCCCTTTTGCGCTTTGGTGCCGCTTGCAGTTAATAGCCAGAGACAATGGCCTCATAGTCTTGGTGTGCAGCCCCCCCTCCCAAACTCTACGCCCGAAACGCGCTACCATCTTGCAGCTGCTTTAAGGTGCAGTGTAAAGGGAAACTACACTCAGACCTTGATCATGGGTGATTTCAACCCACATTGTCTAGAGACTACTGTCACAAGTAGAGAACAATTCGATGCAAGATATCGTAACCAATGATCCACTTTACAACCACGTCATTTTGCCCACTCGGTTTAGACCAGGTAACAGACCGTCTGTGCTGGATCTAGTGCTTACTTACGAGGAATATTATTGGTGTATTTGTTGTGGACTGTCCTTTGGCCTACAGTGATAAAGCAGTCATCAATTTCAACCT